GTTAAACAATGGTTGAGTCAGGAAGTAATCTTTCAGTATTTTGATATAAGCATATCAGTCTTTGTGCAAACTGATGCATCAAAGGATGGTCTTGGTCAGAGGTGGGCAACTATGGCAATTTCCATGAGCCAGCATGGAATTCTGGGAGTTGAAGTTCACAGGTCATAAAGTTGCCATAGTTGCCCATCCCTGATCTTTGGACATGTTTCTTCCAAGAGAACAGGGCCAGGCTTGATGCATCTGGATTCACTGAGATCTGTCACTGGAGTAAGCATTGACTCAATTGAAGTGGTGTTACTTAGTAAAATGGCCAATGAACTGGTTTTACTGACAGTAATTAGCGGGCAACCAACCACCCAAAGAGCTCTGCTCCAAATAGACATGAAAAATATAGTTCAGAAGAGAAGCAGAGAAATACAGGTTCAGATCCCTTTGAAGCGGAGCCAGAAAATAATAGAGGGCAGTGTCATCTGTTTTTACTCTTCAGTCAAAAACAGTTGCCTGCCATTTTGGTGAAGGGGCAATTGGGCAAAGAGGAAGGGCCTGTTTGGTATTGTTCTCTGATGTTTAAAATTGTTTCCCTTTTTAAAACTTCTTTCTTTGAGAGGAAGGAAAACTCCTACCAGACAATGGGTGTGTCAACTGTTGCTGTTCTCTGCCTGCTGAGCAATCACATTTTTAAAAAAAAATTCTTGTTTCTATCAGTTTTTCTCTCCAGAGGTATTTTATTGACAATGTTACTTTTTCATATTTTTCAGGAGCTTTAGCAATAAATAACTTCATCTTTAAAGAGGTAGTCAGATGGAACAGCCGTCTGAAACTTGTTCTGTAATTTTTTATCATATTGCTTCCCCGGGCACTAGGGAAATAGTACAATGCAAGAGAGCGCAACATTGAAAGATGAGCCAAAAGGCAGAAGAGAGATGTTATTTTCTATTTACGTGCTTGCATCTTAGATTGGATCAAGGCAAATATTTTCTACTGCTATTTTTTCCTTTCCTGATCAAATCAAATCAGGGCAGTCTCAAACCATCTATAAACAGGAACCAGTTACTCTATTAGCAAGCCCCAGAACTCCTAAATATAGCAGCAAATGGTCATCCAATCCTACAACTTCGCATTGTACTGTCATTTTCAATTTAAACTTACTCTTTTCTGTAATAATATTTCACTTCTCTTTCTCTGAACTCTGAGAAAACTTTTTAAAATGTTTTTTTAAGGTGAGTTGCATTTATTTTGGATTTCCTCAAAGTACTATGTTTTGAATTGATACAACTGATTTAATGAATAATTTAATGGGGCACTCCCATTAAAATGGCATCCAAGTGAATGTTATATAAATATGTGTACAAAAATTCAATCAAAAGTGATTCTGGCATTTATTCATCCATATTACAACAGCTGCAAGAATGGCACTTGCCCAACATTGGAAAAATGTAAATACACCATCAGATCAATTTATAATAAACAAGATATTGAATTGTGCCGAACTGGACAAATTAACATATATCCTAAGAGACAAAAAAGAATCCATCTATTACAGCAATTGGGAACGCTGGTATTTATGGTTAAGGAAGAGGACAAATATAGAATAAATAAGAGTATTAAATATATACTTAATTATAATGAGATAGCGTTTAGTAATAGTCAACGCTAATTGAACAAAAGGATATACTGGGATGTAACTATGAATAATTTGGGGGTTCGATACGACCCCCGGTTTGTCCTTCTCTGTGGTTGTCTTTATGTGTTGTTTTGTATACCCATATATAACTTATATTTGTTCAAAAATTACACTATATGTTTTTTTATCTGTAAATAATTAATAAAGATCTATTTTAAAAAAAAGTGATTCTGCATATTCTGTAAATTTGATTGAATTTTTGTACACATATTTATATAACATTCACTTGGATGCCATTTTAATGGAGAAATATACAAGATCAATATTTCCCTTTTGGGCAGGAGACTTTTTGGAAGCATGAAAAAAAGCCTTCACTTTTAGTCAGTTGCAGACTCCAGGCCTCACTGGATTTGTTTAAGGGCTGTATGTGGTTTAGGCTTTGGAAGCTTCCAAACTCCATTTTAATTGGATACTGAGCAAAGTCAAATAAGTAATTAATGGGGGAATGGGATAACTTTTTCTATTGGATGAATAAATAGTGAAGAAATCAGATCTAAATTGCAGGGATTTCTTGGCAAGGTTTGAAAGACTAGTATTTTCCATTTCTATGCCAGCAACATTTTAAGTCTGAGTGATTCAGCAGATATATTTTTAATGATGCAAGGATAATTCTAACATAAATTTAATTTTGTTAATGCAATTTTTTTTAACTCCTCTTTCATATGAAGGAAGGCAGTGAGGACACCTTAGCTTAACGCTTGAACAAGCTACTTATTAGAAATTGTTCTTGACACTTCCCCCCCCTTTCCTTTTTTCTTGATTCAAATTGGAGGATATGAATTATTGCAAATGATGCCTTTATCAAATAGGCTCAGAAATAAATACGAGATTCAGAAAACATTTGTCAATTTTGCTCCCTGAATAATTGAGGTCTTGGCAGGCTTAGGCTGAATCTATCCTCAGACCTTTGTTCTGAGAAGAGAAGTTTTGCAGACTGTTTAGAAAGAAAAGTTATCTTCTGCTGTGGATTCCAGGCAAACTAGAAGTCCCTGAAGGAGGAATCTTTCATGTCCTTCTAACCTCATAGAATCAAGCTCTAGGACACCATTAGAAGAGATTAAAGATCAAGAAGAGAAAGACTTGTCAAAAATCTATTTTATAGCTGAGGATAGATTGGAACATAAATCTCTCCTATTGTAGATTAATAACATATTCCATATTCTTAATACATTCCATATTCTGACATTGTCTACAGAGTCAAAAAATTTAAGCCAAACTTTTCTAAGTGAACAATTTGTGTACTGATTCAATAAAATGTACGTAGGTGCTCTTGCATCTCCTTTCCATATATGCTGTCCATTTTTTAAAGCTCATTTCCCTCTATTATATTTCTTTCATGATTATATTGGTATCATATCTTAACTAAATTTTTCCTGAGATTACTCTGATCTTCCTAAAGCTTGTTATTTTTCTCCACTTAAAGGTATTCTTGAGTGAGGTAATTTCGTCCTTTCTTATTTGAAATCTTGGGTATATCTAAATGTGTAATTCCCTCACCTACTTTTCAACATCTTTCCACCCATTACATCAATTTTCTATCCTGCTCCCATCCCAGTAAGTATGCCATGCAAACACTAAAAGGATACTTACATTCATTTTATCTCAGGGAGACACATTTTTCAGACAGAGGCCTCTATCAGGGAGACATATTGGGAAATGTATTCCACCATTAGAAACAGAAAAGATTTGGGTGGAACAAGGGCATCAGTAAACTACTTTAAATTTAAAGTAGATTTAAATTTAAATAATACAACTCCTCCTTGCTTAGCATGAACATACTTATTTTTCTGCTCTACCATACCAAACATTCAGAAGCAACTTCTGGGAAGGATGGAGTCACATCCAATCCTTTGGACAGAAGATGTGGCCAAGATTCCACACATTTCATGTCTGCTGTAACAAATGTTTGTATTTGTGTTTTAATAGTGAATTTACCTCCCCCCCCCTAAGAAATGTGCCTCTTTTCTTACTATGTACTCTCTCATCTGATGACAAGGTGAGGTCCTTTGAACATATCTTGCAAACAAACCTGGAATGGTGGATGAAAGCTCTAGTTCACTGAATGTAGGCATTTGTTTTCAACGCAAGTTACAGTTGTCCAAATACAAGGAAAAGCAGTGCCTAACCTTTTTGCAGTTCCCTCAGTCTGCTTTCCTGAGAATAAATATCCCAATTACCGCAAAGGAGGTCAATTCTATAAGAAAATTTTCTCATCATGAAAAAGTCTCATCCTTTTCTGAGGGACCCTACCCCAGAAGTGGGTTTCAGCAGGTTCTGACTAGTTCTGGAGAACTAGTAGCAGAAATTTTCAGTAGTTCGGAGAACTGGTAGTAAAAATTCTGACTGGCCCCACCCCCATCTATTCTCTGCTTCCCAAGTCCCAGCTGCTCAGGAGGAAATGGAGATTTTACAGTATCCTTCCCCTGCCATGCCCACAAAGCAAGGGTGAAATGCTCCCGGTTCGGGCCAGATTGCCCGATCGGTGGTGGCGGCTAGCGATGGTGGCGGGTAGTTCGGAGAACTGGTAGCAAAAATTCCTGCCCCCCCCACCATGCCCAGCTGAGCCGCAGGATCATCAGAGGCTTTTTTTTTTTAACTTTTAAAAGCATTTTTTCCTCTTCTGACGAAAAAATGCTTTTAAAAGTAAAAAAAAGCCTCTGATGATCCCGCGGCTCAGCTGGGATAGTCAGAGGCTTTTCAAAGCATTTTTTTTCTGCAACCTCTTGGCCGAAGAGGTGGTAAAAAAAATGCTTTGAAAAATCTCTGACGATCCCAGCTGAGTTGCCTGATTGTCAGAGAGGTATTTTTAAAAAAGCCTCTCAGACAATCCTAGCTGAGTTGCCTGATCGGCAGAGAGGTATTTTTTAAAATGCTTCTCTGACGATCCCAGCTGAGTTTCCTGATCGGCAGAGGCTTTTCAAAGTATTAGAAAAAAATGCTTTGAAAAGTTAAAAAAAAAAAAAGTTAGCCATGCCCACCCAGTCACATTAACCCCCCCCACAAGCCACGCCCACAGAATCAGTAGTAACAAATTTTACATTTCACCCCTGCCACAAAGCCACGCCCACAGAACTGGTAGTAAAAAATTTTGAAACCCACCACTGGCCTACTCCCTCCAGTCCCCCCCTTCCAGTTTTCCTTTCATATTATTGATATTATTTGTCAAGGACCCAGCCAGCAAAGCTGGAAGAAAGACTTTCAGATGTAATAGTATTCATTAAGTACAGATTCCGTGTTCCAATTATTAAGTAACTGCTCTCTTTTCTCTGCTCTGATTATTCCCTCCTGATTCTTTGCAGGTAAAACCTTGTTTTTCTATAGAAATGTGAAATATTGGTTTTCTACAGAATGTGTAAGTTGCCATTTAGCTACTAGATCATATGGATATTAACCTCAAAAAAGAAAGTTAACTTAAATAAGCAAGCTCTACCTTAAACAGATGTGTATAGCTTAATGCCAGGCTACCTATAAGATTTAATTTCTCCAGTAAAGTCAACCCTACCATTATATGTGTCAGGAGTGTAAGAAGCCCCCGCCCCCCAGAGAATGAAATATTTTGGGGAATAGTAAAAGAGACGGAATATTATATTTGGAGAAATGAAGAAATGGAGAAACATGCTCTTAAAGGCAGAAAGCAGCTCCAGTCTCCCTGCATTGTGAAACAGCCTCCAGAAGATGCTTGAAGTCTTTAGAGATGGATATTTTGTGCCCATTAAGAAAGACTGGTCCAATCTATTCACAAACAAAACACCTTCAGCTCCAGTTTATGGGATTAAGAAAACCAGGACATCAAAGGATTAATCCACAACCATTAGAATAACAAAAGACACAAGGCTCAATACATTGCACAACCCCCTAACAGCATCTCTATACAAATCCATGTACTCATCAAAGCAATTTGTCAGCTGTCCCAGAACTACATGCTGTTGTTGGTTCTGCTCATCAATAAAATTCTTTCCTTGCAGCCAGTCAGCCTCCATTTTATTTCCAGCACCTTTTTCCCAGCTTGGAACTAGACTGGATTTTTCATCCAACAGGAGAAACTGACATTTGGGAAGTTAGGGGGAGCATCACTTGCTTTTTTTTGGTATGGGTGCCAGTTCTTTGAAATGGCCTCCATTTGAGGTTAGATTTATTCCTACCTTGGCTACCTTTGGGAAGAGGCTGATGACCAAGTTTTTCTGGAGGGCATTTAGATCGTGGTGCTTTTGTATTTGGCATTTTATGCTTTATAATTTTTCTATTTTTTTCTGTACATTTGTAGTTTCATGATTTGTTTGTATTGGGGCTTCTTTGTGTTTGTAAGCTGTTGGCAATGCTAGATTGCAGTGGGGAAAAACATAATTATTTTACTTGCTACTATTAAATAAGTAAGTAAAAAAGTAAAGTTGCTGGAGAAATTTACCTTCTATTCTATGTCTGACACTCCTGCTCTCCTTTGATAGATCTATCTGCTATGGTATTTTGTTCTTGGACTAATCAGACCCAGTCTTTTTGTGAAGGAGGTAGATTGCGAATCCATAACTTTCATGCCACATGTAATCAAGTTGAAGCATGATGGTGTGATTAGGGAGAATGTATCATCAATGATTTAATGGGGACATCACTCTCTACATCTTATAAAGGGCAGCATGATCGTATCATTTTTTAAGAACCATAAGTATCTTGTTGAATTCTTAACATTTCTATTAATCATGAACATTTCTCTCTATTTGGTTCCAGGAATTTTGTTCCACAGAATTGTCTTTATTAGTAATAGACTTTTTGTTAGGAAAGCATAAACTGCTAGGTTGCTAGTCTGTGCATTACTAGATTGAGATTAGATAACGAGGTTGTTGGATTAATCCAGATTAGTGATGAAAAAAATGATCATGTGATATTATAGCGCTACGCTCCGCAACATGTTCTTTTTACTATGAAGTAATTATTTTCTGGTTTTGTTTTTAAAGTAGTATGTAAAATGTCATTATCAGCCTGATGGAAGGCTAAACAAGGAAATCTTTGGTTGCACTCCCCTTGACTCTAGAGCAAGGGTGTCAAACTGGTGGCCCACAGGCCAGATGCGTCATGTGCAGGCCACACCCACCCCAGCTCCATGAATGGGAAAAACACTGCGAAACATCATGTGACAGTAACCTGATGCAGCGAGTTTGACACCTGTGCTCTAGAGCTTTTATCTAGTACAGGGGTGGGCAAATGTGGCCCTTTTGCAATCTGTGGACTTCAACTCCCAGAATTCCTGAGACAGCTTGACAGGTTGTAAAAGGGCCACATTTGCCCACCCCTGATCTAGTAGCAATAGTGCTTAGATTTATATACCGCTTCATAGTGCTTTACAGCTAAGTGGTTTACAGAGTTAGCATATTGCCCCCCTCCCCAACAATCTGGGTCTTTGTTTTACCGATCTTGGTAGAATGGAAGGCTGAGCCAACTTGTGCCGGTCAGGCTCAAACTGCTGGCAATGGGCAAAGTCAGCCTGCAATACTGCATTCTAACCACTGCACCACCAGGGGCTCTTAGTAATTCCCTTTACCTGCAGAAATTGAACTCTAATGGTAATCTATGATGATAGAAGCAACAGAAAACTATAAATATGTAACAATATTTAGTTCATGTGTCTGGAATCTGGAATCTACACAGCTAAGGAGTTTTAGACATTACAGTTCTGACACATCTGAAAGTTGTCGGGAGTAGGGAAAACTGGAACCGTAATACTTTAGTGGCACCAAGTGGCCCCTGTTATACTGTTTGTCCGTCTAACTGAGACAGTTGTCATTCCTTTTATAGATTCAAATGTCTGGCAAGGTTGCCCGTGAGGTTGCCAAAAATCAGACACAAAAGCAGAACACAGTCAAAGTGATGATATTATTTTCTTTTTGCTTTTGGCTTGTTTCCAACAAAGCAACAGATGAAACTGTTTTTCCCCTTTTCTTGAGTCATTTTTTAAATTATAGTACATCTTAGCAAGGCACTTTCAAGTATCCTTCAACAGAACATTGGATTTTGTCTCCTAGAGCTATCCAAAGTATACACCACCAGGAATAGCTTATTTAGTGGCTGCTTATGTTTTTTGCCAGGTTTAGGAGCTGGCAAAAATCTTTTACAGGTAGTCCTCAACTTACGACTGACTGTTTAATGGTCGTTTGAAGTTCAAACAGCCTTGGAAGGGTATTTTACAGCCTGTAAATCAATTATGGCCATTGTAAGATATCATAACCCCACTTAACCTGTTGCAGCATCCCCACAGTCATGGGACCACGATTTCTGATGTTTTGTGCTAGTTTCTGCAATCACAACTTGAACTAAATCTCATCAAATTGGAGTGATAAAACAGAATTAGCTTTTGTTATATACATTTCTTTACAAATCGCATATTTAAAACAGGTACTCCTTGTTTAATATGCTTGAAATTATGATGGTACTGAATAAGGAGTACTTATAATAAGTCCTTGTAATTACAAATGTTGCAGCATCCATGGTGGTGCAGTGGTTAGAATACAGTACTGCAGAGCTAACTCACTGCTCACTCCAGGAGTTCAATTCTGAGAAGCTCAAGGTTGACTCAGCCTTCCATCGTTCCAAGGTCAGAAAAATGAGGACCCAGATTGTTGGGGACGCTATGCTGACTCTGTAGAGAGGGCTGTAAAGCACTGTGAAGTATATAAGTCTAGGTGCTATTGCTATCCCCATGGACAAATGATTCTGATTTAGGTGTCTGGTGATTGGCTCACAACTATGACATTACAGACTCCTGAAATTACATGATCACCATTTGTGACGTTCAGTGCTGAGTTCTGACAAGCAAAGTCAATGGAGAAGCTGGCAGGTGTGGAACAGGGGTGGGTTCTACTTACCTTTACTACTGGTTTGCAACAGGGCTGCGCGCAGAAGCTTCCTGATGACATCGGGGTCTGTGGGCGGGTCAGTGGGCGTGTCAGTGGGCGGAGCCTCCTGCCGGTTTTATTTCTGGTTCTTGCAAACTGGTCTGAACCAGGGGCAAACCACCACTGGTGTGGAATTCAGCTAATGATGCCAAACTGGGACTGCCAGAACTGCCACTGTAAATCAGTGCAATCACGCGATGCACCATGTTGTTTAGTGACAGAATTCCCAGTCCCACTTACCATTGGCAAACAAAGACTACCTGTATATCCCAAATCTCTAATGCATGCTGCATAAAATTATTGTTTATATGCCACCTTGTCAAAGGTTCTCGTTTATTACAGTAAAGAAAGAGTTCATTTCAAAGCTGATGAATTGGTGAGACATCAAATCAAAGAGATAGCTCAGTAACAGGAAAATGGCCCAGCATTTTTGGCCTTGTGTCACCTGTTTATTATTCCAAGGAATGAATGGTTCCTTGTGAAGTCATACTCAGTTTGGAACCACTACTCAGAATAAGGAATAGATGGTTAACCTTTAGGAAATGGCATCAATGCCTCTGGCATTTAGGTATCTTAGTAGGATACAATATTTGTTTGAGACCAAGATTTCCTGTTTTGATGGATTGTGTTTTTGTACATTAGGTAGAAATAGAAGGATCTCAATCTACTACAGTCTGAAACTAGGACTAGGAGGACAGAAATCAGTGCAGGATGGCACATCTTTCCTGAGTGTTTCCTACTAAACTAATACAAAAGGCTCTGTGGGAGTAGTCTATCACTGGCAATTTTCTAATGTGACAGATCCTAAATAAAGCATTTAGGGTAGAATAGACTGTTGTGCTAAACCAGGGGTGTCAAACTTGATTTCATTGAGGGCCAGATCAGGGTTGGGTTTTGACCTTGGGGGGGGGGGGGTAGGATGGGCGTGACTAGCTCAATGTCACTCATGTTGGGGGCGCCGGTGGCGGCCTGAGTACTCTGCCAGTGAAAATGGGTTTTCGGCTGCGACAGCCTCCTGTAACCCTCTGCTAGCAAAAATGGAGCTTGGGAGAGGCACCGTGGGCTGGTCCTTTGCTATTTCCAGGGTGGCGCCGTGGGCCAGATTTAAGCACCCTGTGGGCTGGCCCATGGCCCTTGAGTTTGACACCCCTCTGCTAAACCAAAATTGTTCTCCCCTTGATATACCAATAGACCCTGGACTGAGTGTGAAACTAATATAGTGAAATCTCTCTTTTTTGCCAAATAATATACTGCTCTAGAAATTTTAGATCCTATTTAAATGAGAAGTAGGGTGGGGGCTATATGGATCTCTGGGGCAATGCTGTTCCAGAGGGCAGATGCTACGCTAGACAAGCCCCTCTTCCTGGATCCGATCAGATGACACTGTTTAATTAATTGGAATAAAGCAAGTCAACAGGCTCAGACTTAACCCAGACAAGACCGAGTGGCTGTGGATATTGCCTCCTAAAGACTATGTCGATTGTCCATCATTGGTTCTGGGGGGGGGAGGGGAGAAATTGTCCCCCTCAGAACAGGCTCGCAATTTGGGTGTCCTCCTAGACTCACAGCTAAGATTAGAGCAATATCTGACAGCTGTGGCTAATGGGGGCCTTTGCATAGGTTCGCCTGGTGCACCAATTGCGATCCTACTTGGATCAGGAAGCTCTCCTCACAGTCACTCATGCCCTTGTCACCTCACGGTTAGATTATTGCAACACACTCTACATGGGGCTACCCTTGAAAAGTGTTTAGAGACTACAGTTGGTCCATAACGCAGCCGCACAAGCTGTTGTGGGTGCACCTAGGTACACCCACATTACAGCAATTCTCCGCGAGCTGCACTGGCTCCGGTCACAATTCAAGGTGATGATTATTACCTTTAAAGCCCTACATGGCTCAGGGCCAGGTTATCTTCGAGACCGCCTTCTACCGCATAGCTCATAGAGTCAAGAAACGCAACTATATTCTATTTTAAATCAAGTGTCCAGTTGCTGTATACATATTGGCCTCCTTTTGGAAGACTTTTTTTTACATATCAATCTGATATGTATCTTTGTCTAGGACTGCTCCCATTTTGTTGTTGTTATAACCCTGGACGAAGCAAAAATGGATTATATTTTCAGAGAGGTCTGCATTCTTCTGTAGTGGTAGATTTGTTCTTATATATGCTACTGCTGAATTTATCATTGTGCCATCTGAAATGAATAAGAATTTAAATTGCACTGTAAGAGGGAAGGAGGAGTGTTTTAAATCTGTGGAATTTCCATGTTCCTAAGGTTTACTGTTTTTTGTTTGTTGGTTTGTGTGGTTTCATTGTACCACGGAATATACTTCTGCAAAAAATACTTTTGCTTTCAAGGTTTTTATTTTAGTAAATAGATTCTACATCTTTGACAGATTAAATGTTAGGTATAGTTTTATCTTCAGGAAAGATTTGATCTCGCGTGTTGCACTTTCATAGTGAAAGGAAGATAAATAAGCATAAACCTTTTACTGAACTACAGAAAATGAACATTTTAAGGGTCAGCTTTAATAATTATAATGTGCTTAGTGAACCAATATTTAATGTACTGTATATGGTTCAATAAAGAGCTCTGAATTAGTTAAAAGTCATATCATATAGTACTAATAATGGAACATAAGACAACATAACAACAATCAAAGCTTCTTTTCTGTCACTGAAAGGATTTAAAATGATTATTCATTTGGAAATTATTTTTCTAGGGGCATGAATTTTGATTTTAGGAAATTTAGTGTAGTTTATTACTTAACTAATCATTCTTTATGTGTTTAGCTCAAATAAATCAAGACCCCTCTCTTTACAGCAAAATTCCAAACTAGATGGAGATAGTTAAACAGGAAAAGGAAAAGATGCAGGAAAGACAAATACTATTTATATATTAAAATTATTATTTTTTAAACAAAGAGTTAAGTGGAACAGAACTTTAAGCTAGTCAAAGAAAGTCTTTGAATCAGAACAAAAGACAGCATGATAGAGAGAAAGCCCTCCCTACAATTAACTGCGGTTAACAAAATATCTACAGAATGCTATTTAGTCATATTATGCATATATAAATACAAAAGTTTTTTTGTGAATTCAAATTATTCATTTATTCCCATTTGGGAGGTTCTGCTTATTTTTGACATTTATATCCCATCATCGGGTATTCCTAAGCAGCCCTTCAGGGACTTGACAGTACATAAAAGAATCAATAAGAAAACTGATAAAATGCATCTCATTAACCCAAAGAACAAAACAAAAACAAAACAATAGGATGAAATGAAGTAAGATCTCTGTCTGATTCAGGAAAACTAATTAAAGTCTCAAAACACTAAGAAATTAGAAAAGTCTCTCTCTCTCCCTCCCTCCCCACCTCTCTCTATATATACACGCACACACACATATACACATATCTATCTGTATCTCTATATCTATCTATCTATCTATCTATCTATCTATCTATCTATCTATCATCTATAAAATAATAGATGACAGAAATGTTAAATCTGTCTGAGGAAGCAGCTGCCATATGGAGGTTATGACTGAAATAGCCCCTTGAGCTGTGCAGTATCAAAATTCAGAATAAGGATATATCTGATTATATGCTGCACAGAAGACATAATTTGCATTACACCTCAGGAAAACCATTACAATTTTCTCTACAGGACCATGTTTAAAAAAATCCAGTAAGAGGTTAATCTCCTTCAAAAATTATCTGCAACTTGTACCTTCAAAATAATATATTTTTTAGAAAAGCCCATTATGAAAATTATTAAAAATATCATATTGCACTATAACACACAACACTATACTGTATATGTTGAGCAAACATAACATAAGGTATGTTTGCCTTGATGTCTTTCTGCCAATATGATGGCTTGGAATAGATATCTGATTTCTCAAAGTTGGGAAAACTCTAGGTTCACCTCTGAGACCACTGTAGCTACTGAAGAAAGAGAGGTGACTGGGAAGAGATATAGATGGTACACCAAAAAAATTATTTGGTTTTGAACACCTCCTTGGTGCCCACATTCAAAACTGGAAATTGTCATCTGCCCGGGAGAGAGAATATAGCAATATGCTCCCTACTCCAGGAAGTCTTCCTTGCTACTTTACAGAATGATCAGATGAACGAAGAACACAGAAAAGAAAGATTCACTTTCCATAAATTTTATTTAGTCAGCTGAAGCATATACAGGCCAGTCTGACAGACCCACTTGGGATTAGGCTCTAGATAGCTCAATTTTCTCTGTATAGTGATCTGTCTTCTGCAGTCTTACCTCTTTTCATTTCATTTATTTATTTGTCAAGCATATATAAGATAACAGATAAAAGTATAAACATGATTTGAATACATGAAAAGAATGCAAGTAAAAAGGAACATTAGGACAGGAACGGTAAGCACTTTGGTGCACTTATGCACGCCCCTTACAGACCTCTTAGGAATGGGGTGAGGTCAACAGTAGACAGTCAAAGGTTAAAGTTTTGGGGGTGTGGGCAGGAGGCTGCCCATGTTAATAGTGAAATTAACTTGTTCACATGTGTGATGTCGTAATGTCATAAAAAACTCTTTACCCTCTCCTCATAGTATCATTGTAGCACACAAACTAATTAAAGCTCTCTAAAACATCTTCAGTAAACCAAATTAACCAATAGTCCAAAAAGAATAAAAGAAGAAGTCATCTGTAACATACAATAAAAGGACAGTATCTGCCACTATGTAAGATAGAAAGGCAGAAGACTAGCAGAGTACATCTGTGAACATCAGCTAGAAGTTGGAAGACAAGACAAAAACTCCCGAATCTTACAGTATGTGGACAAACTCAAGCATAGTTTTAACTGGAAAATGCTGAGCATCTTAAACCAAGCCAAATCCCAAAAGAATGCTAGCGAATTCCTGGAAAGTAAGCATCCAGACACATCAGCCTTCAATAACCACATTGAAATAAACCATATTCACACACAAGAGACAACTAAAAGGAAAAAGGGAAAAGACCACAACACATTCCCTCCAAAACTCAGAGAAACAGGTGGTTTCAGATAAATAATCAAATAGAAAACAGTATCGTAATCCATGAACTACCAAGGAGAAAAAAACATACTCTCACCAACCCTGACAGAGCAAGTTGCTGTGTATAAACAGCAAGGAAACCCTACACTTACCAGCATTGATGATGTTACCTAATTGGGTAATGAAACTCCTGCAAGCAAACAACAAAACTCAAAGGGCACCAAGAACTCCATAATCATCTCCTTTTTTAAACAGTTGCAGTTCTCCTGCAGTCCATTGATTTAAAAATGCATCACTTCTAACATTGGGCATTTAAATATTTCTCCTGTTGTGCCATTTTTGAATTATAATATAATAGAGTAATATAATACAGCAAGAATAGAATTATTAAAAATATTTAGAACAAATAAAGGCATTTCATATATCAGAAATATGAACTTTATTTTTTTATCATATTCCGTGGACATGTAAAAAGGCTAAAATAATTGGATTCAAAAACCGAAACTGATACAGAACATTTTAAAGATTAATGTTCAGTTGAAGCCAGAATTTGTCCTTTTTATGAATAAAAAAAAAGCCATTAGTTTCAATCCATTGTTTCTTGTCTTGTCTTCTGGCGCTTTAGAAAATAGGTTGACCTCCTCTTCTTTGTGGCATTTGACATCACAGACAATGAGCAGATGAAGCTTCAGAGGTAAATTTGTCATATGGCTGGTTTATTTGATAAAAGTTATTTTGGAGAGAATACTCTGCAGTACCCCTCCGCACACATACTGCTCTAGCCTTCATTAAAAATAAGACCCATTGATCCTAGAAATCCTGCTTCATTAGTATTGTAAGTGGATTCAGATGTATATGTATCCATTCCTCCAAGATTTCACTTATCTCTTTTCAAAGGAAGCTGAAAAATTGGCAAATCTCATGATCTATTCAGAAACATCTTATCTTTCCTATACTTAGTATGATCAGTGTGAGCACAAACAGTTATGCTAACAAGTCATGTTTCATTTTACAAATGAAGCAGATATTTACATAAGGCATGCTATATTTATATCAAAACTTGTAATTGGCAGGCTTGATTTATGCTCGATAAGAGCTTTTTCCTGGAAGATTTGTATCTGTGGAGAATTTCCAGGCACTTAATATGTATTCAATAGCATTTCAGACTTCCAATGTTTTTTATTATTATTTTCCCAGCATTTGGGGATTAGACATCATTTGTAACAAAGGAATATTATTGTCAATTGGGGAATGGCTACTTTCTTTTTTTAAAAAATCTGTTTTGATGTGGATTAGTGTTAGGTGTTATTCTGGGTTTTTATTGTCTTTTTATACTATTTGATATAATCCTGCTAGAGAACACTTGTAATTAGATGGATTTGTAATAGAATAAACTTGTAACAGAATACACAATTGGAAAGAGCTATTTAGGCCAAAAACTCTATTTGTATAGCCCAGGGATCCAAACTGAAGCATCTCTAACCTTTGACTGCCCAGCCTCTCTCTTCATATATCTTCAAAATTAAAAATTAAAAAAAATTAATCAGTACACCAACTTCTCAGTGAGATGACAAAATACTAATGGGAAACCAATAAAAAGTAAAGCTACAAAGGACCTATGTGGGTTCAGTTTTGTCTGGAAAAGTGGGGTGCGTTTCAAAGGGCAGAATTAATACTTGAGATGGATTAAAAACATCAATCAAGCAATATTTTGAACAAGTTTAAAACCAAACAAAAATAAATCAACTGCATCCTAAAGTTCTGAAATAACTGAAATGACTTGACCAAATGCTTGTTTTATCTTTAAGAAATCCTGGAGAACAGGTGAGATTGGAGAAGAGTAAATGTTATTTTAGTTTTGAAAGAGAAGATCCAATTAACTTCAGATGAGTCAGAATGACTTTGGTACCTGAAAAGGTTTTGGAGCAGAACCCCTAAGATAGTAATGAGCAGGGATTTATGAAGAACAAATCTTGGCAGGCCAAGTCTTAATCTTTTTTGAATCTGTTAATTTTGATAATAGATGCTGGGGGAATTTTATAGATATAATATAACTTAACTTCAGTAAAACATCTGTCAGTGCTCCAATATATCCTGATCATCAGACCTGTTAAACAGAGACCAGATGGTTTAACAAGAAAATGGACATAGATTGAAAATTATACCTGTGAAAAAGATCTTGGAGTAGTAATTGATTGCAATCTGGATATGAGCCAGTAATTTGATGTAGCTGCAATGAAGGCAAATCTAATTTTAAGATGCATCAACACAAGCATATTTTCAAACACACAGGAAACTATCATTCCCCTTGTATTTGTGTTTTTGTATGTAGTGGTTGGCTAGAATAGAATAGAATAGAATAGAACAGAACAGAACAGAACAGAACAGAACAACAGAACAGAACAGAATAGAATAGAATAGAATAGAATAGAATAGAATAGAATTTTTTATTGGCCAGGTGTGATTGGAGACACAAAAAAATTGTCTTGGTGCATACGCTCTCAGTGTACATAAAAGAAAAGATACGTTCATCAAGAATCATAAGGTACAACACTTAATGATCGTCATAGAGTACAAATAAGCAATCAGGAAACAATATCAATATAAATCATAAGGATACAAGCAACAAAGTTACAGTCATACAGTCATAAATGGAAGGAGATGGGTTGAATTGAAAAATTACACTTGTGAAAAATATCTTGGCGTACACAACCTGGAATCAAACAGAACTTGGAGCACTTTATCCAGTTCTCAGCACCATCTTTAAGAAGTATTCAGAGAAATTGGAACTGGTTTAGAAAAAAGACAGTGTTAGGGGACTAAAAAGCTAAACTTTATGAAGACATCTGAGTCTTCAGCTTTGAAAAATGTTGGTGAAGGGAGATAGTTTTCTCCAGGAAAAAGAATGTCCCAAAGACAAAAACCAGACCTGTCCTCCTTTGGCTATGAATTACAGGAAGGGAGATACCAATTGAATAGGGTTTAGGACAGTGGTTCTCAACCTTCCTAATGCCGCGACCCTTTAATACAGTTCCTCATGTTGTGGTGACCCCCAACCATAAAATTATTCCTAAAACCATTGAAAATATGTGTTTTCCGATGGTCTTAGGTGACCCCTGTGAAAGGGTCATTCGATCCCCAAAGGGGTCGCGACCCACAGGTTGAGAACCACTGGTCTAGGACAATTTGCCATGGCCAACTCACCACGGTCAACTCACTACAGCCAACTTACTCCAGGATAACTCACCATGGGACAATTCAACAGTCTATTAATTGATTCATTCAGGTACTTTTATTATTGGTAACCACATTTTTGTCAAAATTATGTAACTCTTGTATTTCTGGATTGACTTTCTTTATTTTATTGGTTCCATGGTTCCATTGAAATTAGTTTAATTTTTGTATTTCCTGAACTGTCCCACAGCGAGTTGTCCCACGGCAACTCATTCTGAATTGAATGTTAGAGAAATCTTCCTAATTTTTCATTAGGAATGAGCAGTTCCTGAGCAGTTTGCCCATGGGATCGATCTATGGAGGATTTGTGATGGATTCCCCTTCATTACATGTGTTTAATTCATGCTTTGATCTATGGTCCAACCAAGAAAAACTGGTAGGATCTGGATCTGACTAGTTAGATTAAGAAATAAAATAAGCAAACAAACAAAAAACAAACTTTCTGCAAGGGATCACTTTAATATACACATGCATTATTTGAGTTCTGTATTGCATTAAATCTCTTGTCCTGCCAGCTACTATAATGTAACTCTGGGAAACAAAGTAAACAATAGTTGGTCACGCTGGATAAGTTTGAGACTGTTCATGTATGTATGTATGTATGTATGTATGTATGTATGTATGTATGTATGTATTTATGTAATGGATCCAATCAGAAATATTCTAACAGCAGAGAAAAAGCCATGAGGTAGAAAATGTAAATGCAAACTGAAACTCAACAGACCTTTTCATCACTGCAGTGTGAAAGACATTTTGATTTAGATTTCATTAATAAATGCTTTTATAAGCATCCTAGTTATTAGCCTGGTAGATCTTCTAGGGCTGGCAAGCAAACAGCCTAATTCTATTGAGAAGTGAGCATGAGGTAACTAACTTCTGTTTTTCATGGAGATATGCACAAAGCAATTTTGCCGACACAATGGGATTGTTGTATTGGGTTAGTAGGAGTGTATCTCTACCTTCTGTATTGTCTTCCCCTTCAGAGAGGTAGCTTGCTACTAATATCAGCTAATAAAGATATGCCTTTAATACAAGGGTCCGCTTTGCTATTAGAGGATGTACTTACATAGAAAATCTTATAATTGAACTTGTTATGTTGCCTGGCAAGTCTCTCGATAGGGAACGTTTAACATTCCCGTTCCTTTCTGAAACGGAGGCATTCATTTGTTTCATTTCCTGATTAGGATTGTGCAGAGGGTCAATTCAATTTAAACAAAGAGCTCATTGAATCACCCCCACTGAAAGAGATTTAAGAATCAAAAGGGGGATCCAACTCAAGGTTGCAAATCCAAGCAGGTGGCAGCAAAGACTCAGTTGATTTTCACTGCCTGGAGTTGTTGCATAGAGCTTACACTGCATCAACATCACTTCCATATATGAAAAATACTATATCAATAGCACTTAGAGTTATATATCACTCCATAGCACTCTCTGAGCAGTTTACAATGTCGGCATATTGCCCCCTACAATCTGGGTCCTCATTTTACCCACCTTGGAAGGATGGAAGGCTGAGTCAACCTTGAACACATCAGGATTGAACTCCTGGCTGTGGGCAGGCAGAGTCAGCCTGCAATACTGCATTCTAACCTCTACTGAGTGATGTGTTGTAATGGATTCTAGTATGATCTGAGTAACCGTCCAATGAATTTATCAGCAGTTTGGACTCTGCCTATCAGCGTTCTTTGCGGAGGACAAATTTGGCATTATTTTGGGCTTCATTCAATTTACCTAATTTTTTTAATATAGCCAGCCATACGTCTTCTCTCTCTTCTGTTTTTTTTTTTTTTTTTAAAAAAGTTACTGGTCCTACCAAGAAAAGTGGGAGTTCATTTCTGCTCTCAGAACTCTCCACATCTTAAATGTTTTTTTGTCTTAAAATTAAATGTTTGTCTTAGAAAATTAAAAAAAAAAACTTTTTTTTAAAAAAAAGAACTCTCCACATCAACATACAGCTGACCAGTCTGGTTCTCATCCAGACTTATTTTTAATTCTGTGTGATTGGGGCAGTTTTTTTTTTTTAAATTTAGACTTCTATATCGCTTCATAGTGCTTTACAGCCCTCTCTAAGCGGTTTACAAAGTTAGCATACAGCATATTGCATATTGCATATTAGCATATTGCATTAGCATTAGCATATTGCCCCCAACAATCTGGGTCCTCATTTTACCCACCTCGGAAGGATGGAAGGCTGAGTCAACCTTGAGCTGGTGAGATTTGATCTGCTGATCTGCTGAACTAGCAGTCAGCTGAAGTAGCTGCAGTACAACAGAGTGCAGTACTCTAACCACTGCACCACCTCGGCAGTTGATTCTTGATAATGATTATATGGATGCCAAAAGAAAATTTGTAAGTGGCGAGTGCTTTTTAAGGATGGAATGTTGCAAGGCTATGAATACTACATTTGCCCTCACTTCTTTCTCTGCAACCTGCCTCTCTTGATGATATCTTATTCGTTAAACA